GGCAACCGCCTGAAGCTGCTGATCGGCCCGATGTTCGAGGCCCAGCCATCGGCCACCGCCGCCGCCCAGTCACCACCTCAGAGCCTCCAACAGACGGCGACTTCGGGGGCCCAGGGCCTCTACAAGCAGCCGCAGGGAATCTACCAGGTTCCTGGAGGACAGGACATCTACCAAGTCCCACCGAGAAGCACCCTGGCTGCCGAGAGCACACACAGCAAGGCGAGTCATTTTCATTTCCCTCAGCTAACCATAACCACTGCTCTCTTTATCAGGTAATCTGTCAGTCTGAGTGTTGATTTTAGGTTCAGGATGAGAGACGATAATTTCCAGGTTTTCATTTTAACGAGAGGCTGGACCCGCTGATTTCTCTGATTAGTGCTTGATAAATGTCTCATTAACAAAAGCAGCTGCTGGAGTGAAGAGTAGAGGGAAACGTTTCCTTCATCATCGTCTCTTAATCTTTATCAACAGTTTTCCAGGCTGCTTTTTCATGCATTTGTTGAAGCAGAATTACAGGCTTTCCACTTTACCACAATATTTTCTGAATATTATCAACAAATCATCATTAACTCGTACATGTCCATGTTTTCGTGAAGATGTCTGCGTGTGATTCAAACATTTGTCCCGCGAGAAAAATAAACTACATGGAATAAATTTTGTCCAGCCACGACAAACTTAAGATCTGTGATTAAGATATTTGAGGCTAACTTACATTTTTAATGAATTTCAGACATTCTAAGGCCTTAATTTTTTTTATAAAGGAAGTTGAGACTGTAATAATGAGCAGAGTCCCTGGAATAAGTCTGACTCTTTCTGCATGTGCTCCAAAAGGTTGAAGAACTGCATCTAATTTCCCTCAATGTGCATTTTTCTAGGTGTTTCAGGGAGAAGTTAAGAGGCTATAAACTTTAAAGACATTTAAATCCAAAGATGCAGCGTTTGCATCAATCATGACCATAATTCAGCAGCAGGTCTGTGCTGAAACACGATGAGAAAATGTCCTCGTTTATTGAAGCGTTTAACTGGTTCCAGCACCTCAGACGCGATCGGCCCTCCAGGAGACGGATGGTAATTAGATCCTCTGTCAGTTTTTGGCGTCTTGAGGGTCTCTTTTTGATTCTAAGACGATCTACTGCGGCCGTCATAGAAACGAGCTGGGTGTGTTTCCGAATAAACAGGCTGCCGGCGCCAGCAGCTTAGCGCTCGATTCGCTGCACAGCGGCGGCTTAAAGGACACATCTGTCAGTCACTCCTGCAGGTTTAGCCCAGAGCTGGTATTAAGGTGGAAAATGAACGGCGTCTCTAATGAGTTGCTGCTTTGTGCTGTAATCCTGTTACTGCGCGGATGAGATGAGGTTCTGGACGTGTATCAGGACTACGGATCAGTTTAGGGTAATTGTTCCTGTGATTTAAAGAGATAGTCCTGAGAAAGGCCGACTGTGCTGACCGAAAATCCACCGACCGGTCCAGTTAAAGCCCGTTGCTTACTGGACGTTATTTTACTGGATTCAGACTCGACTGTTCAGAAGAGAGGTGTATCATCAGAGGTTTAAATTAGGATCTATTCATAGGAAAATTAGCCAGATTAACGTTAAGATCATGAATGAATTGCTGTCGATTGAACGTTGTGGATTTTAATCGGTTTATAATTGAAATAAACTGGAAAAACAAACAAAGCACAGAATTGAACTGGATTATAACTGATCTGATCAGAACTGCCTCGTTGGTGGTAATTGTGTCGGACTGGATTTAACTGGATCGTCCTGAGTTTGATTTCAGTCTTTATTCAATTAAAACTAGGTTATAATTGAATTAAATTGATCAGAAAAAGGTGTTATGATATTATTGAACTGAATTAATAAACACTGATTTAAAGTGAGTTGAACAGCATTGATTTGGGTTGGTTTGAATTAAGCTCTATTATATTTGGGCAAACTGGAACGAATGGAGTAGAAGTGGTTTGAATGGATTTTAATTTAAATATTTCCTACTGATTAAATCAGATTTTAATTTATTGAATGTGAAAAACAGATATGAACTGTACTAAAATTCATTTTGACAGAAACGAAACTTATTAAAGTGGAGTGAATTGTTTAAATGTATATTTAGTATTTGATGAAAACTGGATTTAATCGGTTGAACTGGACAGGAATGTGAGTCCAGTTGGGTTTAATAGTTTGAACTGGACCTACCTGAATTCAAACAAACTGAATAAACCGAACAGGATCAGAAAATAAAAATATTTCAGTCCTGAACTAAATTTTATTGGAGGGACATGAGTAGAAGTGAGGCTGGTTCCCAGCTGCTGAACCAGTCTTCCCAGTAATGACTGTACGTTAAGCCCAGTAGCCACAGAGGAAAGGTTCTGCTGGTTTTCGTGTCCCAGTTCCTTCCAGCTCATCCAGTTGTTTCCTCTTGATGTGGTTCAGAGGTTCTGATGTGGAAACGGACTCAGAGCGGACTCCATACTGGGACCATACTGGGACCCAGAGCGCCGGGGTTCTGGGAGGCCTGCAGCTGATTTCCTCTGTTTCCTCAGGCTCGCCGCCTACAGACGGGCCGGGTTCAGAGTTCAGATCGGCTCTTATCGGCTCTTTCAGACGCTTTTGTCTTTCTTCTCTTCCTGCTCCACTCCTTCCTCCTCCTCTGTGTCCCGACGCTGACCCAATCTGCTACTGCAGCAACAAAAGATTTAACGATCGGCAGCACAAATTCAGGAAGTTTATGGGCTCCCGGGGCGTGTCATCGGGCTTGATAAGACTTCAGGTGACCGGGTTGTTAAACACGATGATCTGAGCTTCAGATCCTCCAGACGTCTGAGATTCCTGTGAAGCTCATTAATCAGCAGAACAATCTGCTCTGCGGCGACGTTTCCCCCAAATGGAAACTTTGAAGCAATAAATGTGATCAAGTATTAGAGAACAGCCGGAGGAATGCAGGGCATGCTGGGCTGAAGGCATTCACAGCCTCTCACCATAAACTCAAACCAAAACAGATTCCTTCTCATGCCGAAGGAAACAAAGAAACCGGATCGGTTCTGGAGACCAAAATATCTGCATGAATCTGTCCTGCAGACGAAGATGGTTTGATTTCTCACGGTTCAGTCTGAGATATTTGGACTAAACCAGCAACGGTTCCCAAACTTCCACATGGTTTTAAAACACATAAAAAAATCTACTTTTAGACTTTTCTCACTTTTTATTCAGTATTCCATAATTATTACATTTGTTTAGCTTAAATGCTGCCTAATAACTTCTGATTTTAGTTGAACAGAAGTTCTTAGACATGAATAATATTCAACGTGGCCTTTATTAATAAAATCAATAATTATTCAAAAATTTAAAATTATTTTAAATCTAAATTAGCCAGGGGTATTTAGTGTTACCCTCCTAAAATATATTAAATATGGAGGAAAACTAACCCTGACTCCACCATCTCCTTGGCAGCATCATGCTGTGGGGGAGAAGAGGGAAACGGGCATGTTTCTGTGTCAGAATGGCTCAATTAAAGTCCAGCTGAGTTCCTCCTGTCAGTCTCATTCAGGACGATAATCCCTAATTATGTGCTCAGTATGGTCGTCATGGCGATAAGCCCATCAGGGCCGCATCAGCAGCACAGTATTCATCCAGAGAACATCTTGGAAGATGTTTTTGCTAGCAGCTGTCATAAATTCTCAGTGTGCATGTGACTCAGATGATAGAGGCAAGAGGTCAAAGGTCACTTAGAGAGTTGGAAGCACAGATAAGAGAGATTTGTAGGTAACACGGTACCAACGTCCTGCAGCCGTAAAGCCGGCATGCGCTTCAGGAGCCTCCGTCAGACTCACCTGGTACTCTGAGGCCAACAGCCTGGAAACACCCATCATTTCTTAGAAACTAACCGCTGGACGTAAGACACATCCAGTAGCATTACAGATTACTGCAGCGACGGATTAAACTGCTGCTTTGATCACAGCAGATGATCTTCACTAGAGCCAAAATCGGCTCTAAGCTGTTTGGCTTTTGGAGACGGCCTGGTGGGATTCCTGCATTAATTAGTTTGGAGCTTTAACAGGCTGGAGTCACGATGGAGCTGTGACTCAGCAGAAAAGCTTCCTGCAGCCTGGATGTAGCAGAGCCGACTGCTGCAGGCAGCTAGCCTCCAGATCGATGCAAACAGGCGGCTGAAGGCCACAGAGGAGGACGGCTGCTTGATTCGTGTCTGCAGGCCATTAGCAGGAAGGAAGAGATCGTGATTGAGAACAAAAGCAATGAAAAGGTGTGAAACACGAATGGAGGCGATATAAATCGACCGCAGGCAGAAAAAAGGCGCCTGATCTCACCGACTCGTCCTTTTCTTTCTGTCCATGTTCACAGTTCTCACTGTTTTAGCAGAAACGAACCTCACACTGCGACTGGAGCAGGAGACTTTATCTGCACCAACACATTTAAAACAAACACACAAAACAACCTAAACACTTAATTTTACACTACAGTTAGTGCTGCTAAAATATTTTTTAAAAACTTAAATGATGTTTTTAAGTTTTATCATTGTGAATTTTAATAGATTTGAGAAAAATACAGAATAAATTTAAACTAAGGAGTTTCCTTTAACTGTGTTTTATTTTGTAGGATATAACAAACTGATATTTGCTGTTTTTTTTAGTCAGGCTATCTGCTCCAGTAGCCAGAGTTCTCTTCTGTCATTTAACAACAGCCTTACTTTAATAATGTCGCCCCTTTGGTTTACGTACTTCAACTCTTTTTAGAGTTTTTTGCAAGTGGAAACATTTTTGAATGTTTAAAATTACGTAGTTTTGCTAATGAGGGAAAAATGTAGCAGCCAGCTGACCAGCCAGCTGACCAGCAGTGCTTCTCATTCCAAGGATTTCAGAAACAAAAAGTATCAATAGGTGGGAAAAATCGAGTTAGAAAACATGGAAAACCTCAGAGTTGTTTAAGTTATTTAGCTGCAAAAAGAAGAAAAAGCCAAAAAGCTTCAGTCAGGTAGTAACTACTGGGAGATAAATCAGATTAAAATTAAATCATAAACGATTCAATCAGAAGCTTACAGCATCACTTAGTTTACATAAAGGCTGAATATATCGGGGTTTTTTCCTTTATTCCATCTGAAAACCAGATGACTCGATAATTAAAACAGCATAATTTAAGTTTTTGCTGGTAAAAAAAAATTCTTTATGATTTCAGTTTTCTGATTACAGAAGAAAAGATTTCTTCCCTTCTTGTCGACATTATGAGTAATGGAGGATGAACTCACAACATCCTGTTTTCACTTGATCCTTGAATGAAGTCTTTCATACCAGACGGAGCGTTTGAACGTGGCTCAGTGGCTTAAAGCGATAACATGATGTCATCGCTGATGTCACGTAACGTTTAAATGTGTTAAAGCTCAACCTGCCTGAACGACCCAAAGCAAACAAGGCGCTGCTGAAAGAGCCTTGAGTCGCTCACCGCCACACGCAGGCGAGTTCACAAGGCGTCTGTTCAACAGCGCTGGGATCCAGGTGTGTAGCCCCGCCCCTTCCAGGCCCCTCTCACCTGTGTAGGAAAGGGTTTTCTCTGTTTCTGTGGCTGTTGGTGACATCATCACTCTACGGTCCTCAATGCGCCGCCAATGAACCCTGCAGGGGAAACGGAGGGAGGAGACGGGGAGGTTATGGAGCAGACAGGAAACAACATGGCGTACGCATCGCTGCAGAGCAGAGGCTGAGCCGCCATCTTTTTATTGCTTTCACTCAGACAGAAGCTCAGACGTTATATTAAGCTCTTATTTTGAAGTCTGTTTACCAAGCAGTTCTGTTTCCTATTCTCATGTCCTCTTTTTGGTTTTCAAAAAACTTTCAGCAAATGGCAAGCATACAACAAATGAGCAAAAGAGATATACAAAATAATATGTTTATATAAGGAAACAACCAGGGGTGTTAAATAAACTAATACATGCAAAAATTCACATTTATGAATTGCTTTGAGTCGCCTCATGTTGTCTTTGTGAAACATGCTGGGTGTCAACATGGTTGAATTTAGCACTTTAGCATTAGCACCCTCTAAATACCTTGTTGGTGTAGCACATTAGCATTAGCTTCTTCTAAATACCTTATTAGCATAGCACTTTAGCAAATCTCATTCCGGTGCTGCGATTTCTGCACATGCAAGTTTGATTTGGTTTGTGTAGCACTTCAGCGTTATCAGAAGTAATGTTTAGTGCTTTAGGGAGAAGAGCGGCGGCCACTGCTGTTTTCTACTGGATACATTCAGTGGTTCTGACTGTTAGGTGAAGCAGTTCTCACTCAGTTTTGGTCCAGTTGAGCTGAATAACTGTCTGGTTCTGCTCGTCAGCAGATCTCTGATCATCTCGGTTTATTTCAGAGATCCATCCATGGTTTAGGATTCAGTTTCGACCCCACATGCTCGCTGCAGGACGCACCAACAGGAATCCCAGCTATGAACTCCTGAAATCACCAGGTTGAGATGTGAATTACGGGAAACATACAAACTACCGCTAGGCAGATGAATGAAAGTCCTTTCCATAGAAGGAGTTTGGTTTTCCGCTTTCCATTTCTTCCTCTTGTTCCTTTCAGAAATCTTGCCCAACTTTCCCCAGAAGTGTTAATCCTGCTCTGAGGTCATGTTCCATTCTCCCTCCTGACAGCAGAGACATATCAGGGGATTAACCCGAGCCTCTGCCAGGAAGTCAGACGTATGGTTCCTATTTTCCAGCCCTGCTAATGAACCCTGCTCCATCCAGAGCGGTGGTAGCTGATCTCGGGGGCAGAGGAGGAGGACTGTGCTCGGGAAAGACATTCCCAGCATTCCTGGCTTCCCTCTGAAGGTCTGTTGCGCTGCTGTTAACGGCTCTGAGACGACGAGGCCGGGGGAGGGGTTGGGGTGTAGGGGAGCAGATTAGCACCGACAGGAAACGGTGATAAAACATTAACAGGGTCAAAGATTTCCCCATGAAAGTGAAACCAGTCAGTGTTGGGTTTCTCCGGATGAAAGACTTGAAGTTTTATGAAACACTCCGGCTGGAGGTTGATCTTTAAACAGTGATGTAATGATTATCTCAGCAGGAGTCGAGCTGATTCCAGACTCTGCTTCAGCTTTCTTTCTGCTCATAAAGCCGTTCTCCAGGTCACAAATGTGCAGCTTTCAATAAAATGAAGCTCAAGTTGAAATTGTGCTCATTTTATTCCTCACAGCTGCTCAAAGTTTGGTTTAGCTTGAATCATTTTCCAGTGCAGCCTGTGGCTGAAGGCCAAACAGCTTCTTGAATTACGTTTCTCTAGCTAAAGACCCGACTTCAGCGTTCTAGCTAAAATGACAGAGCTGCAAAAATATCGAATCCCAGTAATCAGTCTTCTTTTAGCCTTAAAGGCATTCAGTGTTTTGGCTGTTTTGCAATTTTCTGGAAGTTTGTTCCAGATTTGTGGTGAATAGAAGCTGAATGCTGCTTCTCCATGATGAATACAATCTTTATAAACTGGTGCAAATAAGACGAAACTTGGGACCCAACTTTTAAAGAATCATCCAACATAGAATATAAATTTTGTCATAACTTAAATAATCCAAATATCTTAAAGGAGTTGCTGTGGATGGTGATGCTGCGGGTAGTAAGGATCTCCAGTAGCAGTCAGTCATGCAGCGACTCTAGAGAGGCCTCTGACAGAAGACTGTTGCTGTATGAGAGTCTCATGACCGTCATAACATGCTAACAGATCAATATCTGGGCAGCGGAGACGATATTCAACAGTAACAAGATCTGGATGACGATATCAGTTGTTAGGTAGCACTGCTAATCCACCTCCTTTGCTTTTGCCACTCTTCTTTAAATCTCTGTCTGGGCAGAGAGATGTTAGAGTAGGGGATAAGACCCTGCAGCCCTCTGCCTTGAATGAAGTTATACAATTAAAACTCTGGTTGGGTCAATTTTTGGGCTTATTTAATATTCTCTGGCAGACAAAATTTAAGGCCGTATTTAACATATTTAAGGCAAACTGACTTTTTAAAGCATGAATGTAAGGTATTTTAAGGCCTTAATTTTAGATCCATGTATTTAAGACTTTTTAACGATGCGCAGACGCCCTGGATCACAGTCCAGTTGGAAAAACACGTGAAACAAGCCGCTCTGCTTTAAAAGCAAGAAAACTGGGAGAAAACCTGAACCAATGTCAACGCTCCTGACACTGCACCAATCAGGCAGGGAGGTGGCAGCATCATGCTGGGGGATGTTTTGCTGCTAGTGGTTGTGGCGAAGTGATTGGACCTCCAACGTGCTGCTGGATGGTTGAAACCCGATCTCACACAGGTCCACAGCGGGTTAATGTTTCCCCTTCAGTGTTAATGAACACATTATTAGTCTCAGGTTGTCTGTAATTATCAGCTGCTGGGGGTTTTACTGAGCTCAGAGGTTTTCTGTGCAGCTGCAGGCGTCTGTTTATGAGTCAGCTTCCTGGGTCCTGGAACAGGGATGTTATCAGGAAATATCCGCCTCAAATAGAATTACGCAGGGTTACTCAAGGACGAGGAACGACAGGCAGCCAAAACAACCACAGAGCAACATGGTGGCACAGGATCAACATGGAGTTGTTGTTTCTGACATTGTGTGTCTGCAATCCAACAGGTCGTGACCCCAGTCAGAGTGGGACAGTCCTACTCCTACAGCCCCGGACAGCACAACCACCAGGACCTGTACGACGTCCCGCCCAGCAGATCACAGGGGGTAGGTGTCTTGTTTCCATGGCAACGTCACCGCCCGCTCTGTTAGCTGTTGCTACCCATCAGAACATCTAACAAACCAGACCCGGTTCTATCATCTGAGCCGCGTTATGCCGGTCTGGGAGGCTCAGTAGAGGTGGAGGATGAGACCAGAGATGAGACTTCAGGTCTTTAATGAACTCAGACAGACGGAGGTTCGCGTTGGTATCGGCGCCAATCAGACCAGAGGTGCAACCCCACAGGGAGTTTCCATGAGCAGAAAAGTGTGGCAACCCAGCATGTGGGGCGTACTCTCTACCAGGCTGGTTAAATGGAAACCCACAATGTGACCCATCAGTGCAGGTGATGTCTGATGCATCGCCAAGGTTATTCAATAATCGCCAACTAATTTAGTAATCAACTAAAAAAAAAAAGAGTTTTCTGAAAGAACACAGTCAGAGCAGAAATTAAGCAAAAACTGCATAAAAAATTTGCTTTTAAGATGAAAAATGTACATCAGTTGTACCAGAGCTCCTCTAGTTGCAGTTTTCAATCTTCTTTAAGTCTTTAAGAAATGTTTTCTATCCAGTTATTAATCTGTTAATCTAATACGTACTGATGTTCAGTCCAGCAGAAAGAAAGAACTGACATTTTCACATGTTGATGTTAAAAGGGATTTTTTTTAGCTGCAGATGCATCTTTTGCTACAAATGATAAAATGTTGTGTGCATTTTAGGCAGCAAAATGTTTGATTTCTTATTGAATTACTTGTTTATTTGTATTTTTTATGCATTTCTAATATTGTGTAAAATAATTTTAAGTGGTTGAGTGAAAAATCTGCAGAATGAAATTATTTTTTTTATAACTGAAATAATTTAGTTGTTGCCCTAAACAGTCATCAGACACATCATAGGCCTGGTGTTCAGATCCAGCAGCTCCGGTATTTATTTTATGATTATTTATATTATAAGTACTTTGTTCTGATATTTTAGGGGAAATGTCTGGAACAGATTCCAAATTTCCAAACCTTTTATGGAAAATAAATGAAAATCTGATACATCTAGTCTTCCCAGCAGATCCATGTCATTATTTTGTGCAACGTTAAATAAAACAGTGCAAATAAATCAAATGTAAAATACGCACAGGCACAGCTGAACTGGTTTTAATTTAAAATTTGCCATCAGATTTAGGTTTTTTGTTCCCTCGTGTAGCAAACAAGCAGCCAAAGCTCAGATCTCCGTAACAACAGCAGGCTGTGGTTGAACTTTGACCTCCGTCTGGGTTTTAACGTTGGCTTTCTGTGTTCCAGGTGTACGATATTCCTCCTGGTCAGATGTTCCCGGGTCAGCCGGCTGCAGCCAGGAACCAAGGGATCTACGACGTTCCTCCATCCCAGCTGGAGCCCCGGACACAAGGCGTTTATGACATTCCTCCGTCCTCCCAAGGGGTGAGTGCGGGGAAAACCTCGACTCCGTGGCACATCAGCCTGACACCCCGACTTATTCCTGTCAAATAAAACCAAACGCAGGAGGCTGGAAACTGTTTATTGACGCAGCTCCTTGAATTTCTCCTAATTTTCTCCATTAAATGAATAATACGTCAAACGACATATTTATGGCGATCCTGCGGCTCTGGTAAATGAAGGCTTAGCTTGCCAGAAGCCACTGAGTGAGTGGCTTGGTGTTTGAACTGCAGCAGGAGAAACGGCTCTCTTTCCAGAGATTCCTGCAGCGCCGCCCAGACAGCCAGCGCTCTGTTTGGACCAACCTGAAGCTCTCTGAGCTGTTATTTGCGTCGCTCCTAATTACAGTTTACTCGGTTTGTCTAGCTGTGAGGAGTGTCGCTTTATTTACTCCCATGATGCCTTGAGGCCTTTAGACACATATGCAGCTCGGCTACAGCAGCGAATCGAAGGAGGAAACGATCATGTGTTCACATATAAGCTAATCTTTCACTTCCTTCAAATATCCCAACGGCTGCTGTGTGCTCCCACAGACAATAATGATAAAAAGAAAGTGCACTGCTGGTCAGGACATACTAAACTGATCTTTACCAGGCATTAAACCTCAAGTGAACAAAACAAACACAATCTGCCATTGTTTTAATAAGAAACACAGCGAGCCTCTCAGAAAGCTTGCCAGTCTGGACCGCACAAAATAAAATAAAAATTAAAAAAGTTAAAAGTAATAAAAAATTAAATAATTTAATTGACTGTTCATAAGAGGAAAACTTTAAAACTCGTAATTATGAGTTTTATTCTCATATTTATGACTTTAATATTCATAATTGTGACTATTATGCTCATAATAAAGACTTTAGTACTTGTAACTATGACTTTTATCCACCTAATTATAATTTTATAACTTAATTATGACAAACTTAGAAATTGGGTCTTCAAAAACAAAAAAACAAAACATTTTCCTACCTTTTCAGGGATCCATAAATCAGTTTCTCAGAGAAAAATGTCTGAATAGAATAGAATAAACCCAAACACACGACCCTGTGGTGCTCCACCAGTAATGTGTGTGTGTATTTGTCGATGTCTGACCCTTCGTTTTGTCCTTAGGTCTACTCAGTGCCACCCTGCAGGACCAACGCTGACCTCCAGGAGGGAAACTACGACTTCCCGCAGCCTCTCAAGCAGAAACAGGAAGGCATCTACGACGTCCCGCCTGCCATCCTCACCAAACCGTCTCACAGCCCCCAGTCTCTTTACGATTTCCCGCCCAACGTCGAGCCCCATCACCATCACCCAAACACCAATGGCAACGAGGGCATCTACGACGTTCCTCCCTCCGCCCTCCACTCCGGAGCGGACTCTCAGCAGGACGTTTACGACTTCCCCCGGGGCGCACAGCCGCTCCAAAATAAAGGCTCTGCCGACCGGGACACAAGCAAAGGAATCTACGACATTCCTGCTCAGGACGCTCGCACCGTGACGGATGTGACGGACGGCGTGAACCGCCTATCGTTCTCCAGCACCGGCAGCTCACGGAGCAGCATGTCCACCTCCTCGTCTTCCACGGGCTGCGGCTCAGAGGGACGCCTCTTCCTGGACGTGGACGCCGGGGTGCAGAGGCTGTACCGCCTGCAGCAAGGTGTGGAGCTCTCTCTTGGGGCCTTGCACTCAATGGCGTCTTCCTCCCACTGGAGGACTTTTCCCTACATGGAGCAGCACACCAACGACGTGCGCATGGTGCTGGACAAAGTCCGAGTGTCTCTGGTGGACTTCATTGCGTTCGGTAGAGGAGCTGCGGCGAACGCCACGTCTCTGTCGGACTCTAGTCTGCACAGCAAGCTGAGGCGTCAGCTGGCGCGGCTGGAGGACTCACAGCAGATCCTGGTGCAGACCTACCAAGCTCTGGAGAGCTGCAGCTGGGCTCTGAACGCCCTGGCTTCCTCCAGGCAGCACCACAACAAGAGCGACGACCTGGACCGCTTCGTCATGGTGTCCAGGACCATTTCTGACGACACCAAGCAGCTGGTCTCGACGATAGGCAGCAATGCCGAGCTGCTCTTCAGGCGGACGCACGCCGACGGAACGTTCTCCACCGGCAGCACACCGGAGGAGAACCGGCTCACCTCGCTGCCGTCAGACTCAGACAGCTACAGCGGACAGACCAAAGCCTTCCCTGTCCAACCCAACCAGGACAAGGACAACATGAACCACAGCGAGAAGTGTGTGAAGAGCTGGATGGAGGACTACGACTACGTCCATCTGCAGGTAAAACAGCAACAGGTTGGGGCAGTTTTTCTTAACTCCACGATTTTGCGATTGTTATGATTTTTGCTGCAATCATAATTGATTTTGCCGTGAATAAATATTTGCAAGAAATTCTTTAAATGTGACTTTTTTTTACTCACGATGTTGATGGTGGATTATAAACTGACATCATGTATGGTGGAGACAGGAATGTAATAAAAGTAAGTAATATTGCCACCTGCAGGTGGGAGTTAGCATAGCATAAACCCCAACGTTTAGACCATTTCAATAAACTCACCATTATGCACTAGCAAAAGCCAATGCAGGGATTGTTCTCCTTATTTCACCATATTATTATATTTATTTAACAATGGAGCTGTTTCTTTGTTCACTCTTTAATTTTTGCCTCACCTGTTTCCATCCGAAGGGTAAAGAGGATTTTGAGCGTCAGCAGAAGGAGCTGCTGGAGAAGGAGAACATCATCAAGCAGACTGCAGTCCAGCTGGGCCAGGAGCAGGTGAGTCCGAGGTGGAAACGTCACACAAACCTGGAAAATAAATGGGGACTTGTTATGAAAAATTCACATTTTTGCAAGTTTTTATATTTCTATTTGGATTTCTACTGCTTCTAACAAAAAAAAACAAAAAAAAAAAACAACGCCCCCTTGGTTTTTGGAAATAAGTTAACATTTTCTGGTGTCTGAAAAATGAGCCATTTCAAAAACCACTGCACAAATCAGCACCAGCTGCCCTGTTACCTAGCAACCTCAGCAGAGTTCCACACGTTACCTAGCAACCCAAACTGAACTCCAGTCTGTTTGGTCAGCTGGTTTTCCTGCTGTATACGCTGTACAATGGCTGCTGGAAAAGACAAGTGTTTTGTTGTCGACTTGTCATCCAGAAACAATTGGCTGATTTCTTGTTAGTTGTGCAGGAGGCTCTACTTCTGCTTTTCAAAGATGTACAGTTGTATAATTGTGCATATGTTTGCAACTCTTGTCACGTGCGAGTGAAAACGTTGATTATGGAGCGTGGCCAGCAGCAGTTTAATTGGATTTAAAGTGACACAGACCCTAAAACAACTCACCCTGAAAGGCAGAACTCAACAGACTCATTATCTAAGAATGATTTTGTACCAAAAATGTAATGAACATGTTTTATATAGGACATAGACCTATCCTAAGATGTTCACGGCTATGTATTTAGCTGTTTCAAGCTAAATACACATTTAGTTTGGAACAAAATTAAAGGTTACGACAATAACCTTTAAAGTTATTGTCGTAAATAACTGGATTGTTTCATCTTCCTCAGATTAATCAGTTTAAGAAGCTGGAGCAGGAAGTGATCAAACCCGTGGAGAATGACATCACCCAGTGGACGTCCCCCGCTCCCTCCGACTCCTCCTCCGCCCAGGTGTGTGCCCGCGACCGCCAGCTGCTCGGCTTCTACTCCGCCCAGTGTGAGCAGCACTTCTCCACCTTGCTCAGCGCCGTCGACGCCTTCTTTGCCTGTGTCGGCGCCGGCCAGCCTCCCCGCATCTTCGTCGCGCACAGCAAGTTTGTCATCCTCAGCGCGCACAAGCTGGTATTCATTGGGGACACGCTGTCCAGGCAGGCGTCCGCCCCAGAGGTGGCCAACCGTGTGATGAACTCCAGCAACGTGCTGTGTGACCTGCTGAAAACGGTGGTGGCGGCCACCAAGACGGCCGCCCTGAACTACCCCAACACGGCCGCCATCCAGGACATGGTGGACCGGGTGGCCAACCTTTCGCACCACGCCCAGCAGTTCAAGGAGCAGCTGCTGCAGATGGCCGCTCTGTGACTTCCCTCCAGCATTCTTACACCAACCTGCACAACCTACAAATATATATACATATATATTTATATGTATGTGTTGCTCCCCATCATGCTCTGTAAATAGTCCGTGGTGTAAATATCGGCTGTTTTCTGTGTAGATAGTTTTATATTATGGTCTGAATATAAACATAGCTGCAGTCATGGTGAGTCTTTAGGATCTGGTGGACATTTTTCATAACATTCCTGTTGCATACGAAGCACCTTATGTTTGTTTCCATTTTCTTCTGAGGATCTGGTTGTTGTGTTGCTGCATTTCTCTGTTAATCGTGTTTGTCTGTGGAACTCGCCACACAGTAAATGGCTCTTCTAACGCAGAAACATGTGTCGTCTTTCCTCGTGTTACTGGAATCTGATTAAACGGATATTCCTTTTCCAGCTCTCTGAAGGTCCCAGCATAGTATTTTCATCAGCTTAAGGGCTCAATCAGGGATGTTCAAAGTGTGGTGCGTGGGCCAGTTATGGATCCAAACTGCGATTTGAGAGAGATAGAAATCTGACCCATCAGCAAAGAGATACTTTGTTTACTGACGAGTTAAAAGACTCTGTTCTTCCTAAATATTAAGTTTGAAGATTAGATAAGTACATATTTAGCTTGGAACAACATTAAATACTTAATTTGTAACTTAAATGTGTTGAATATTTAGCTAAATGTTTAATCATATGTTAACTAGTATACAAATTAAATATTTAGCTTGCAAGTTAAATATTTAATTATGAACCTAAATATATAGCTTTCCAGCTAAATATTTAGTTTACAAAAAATATTTAATTTGATTATCAAGTGTTTAGTTTGGAAAAGAAATATTTAGTTCCAAACTAAATTTTTAGTTCCCAACTAAATGCTTAGATCTGATCCATATATTTAGTTTACAAACTAAATATTTATCTTGCAAATAAAATGTTTAGTTAGTTAGCTAAAAATTTAATTTGGAGATTAACTGTTTAGTAGGAAAATTGATATTTAGCTGCAAACAAATTTTTTAGTTCCCAACTAAATATTTAGCTTGTGAATTGCATATTTAGTTTGCAAACTAAATATTTAGTTTGAAACTTTGACATTTATGAACGTACGAACAACATGTTGAAAATATGACTTTGAAAAATCAACCCCCACTTATTCCTCTTATGACGGATTAAATTATCCAGATTAGTTCTGTTCATTTTTTTACTTTGCAACTTCATCCATGGCACCCCATAAGCATTCCTGTTCCTGCCTGGGCTTCCTCTGGTTGCCATGGTAACTCACTCCAAACACATAAATGCTGGTTTAATGGGCGCTCTGCGTCTCCCAGGGCCGTTAACTCTGAAGCTTCTGGTTGCAGTTAGAGCCTCGCTGAGATCTCGGGGAGCTTCTGGCAGAAGAAGCAGCAGGTCTTCACCACAGCTGCAGCAGTTCTCTGCGATAAAACCTGCCTGCTGGAGCTGATCAGCAGCAAACAGGTGGAAACCTGCAGAGAGCTCATCAGAGAGGTGACAGGCGGCTCTTCCAGGACGGCTCCCTGCACAGAGCTCTGCTGTCTCTGCAGTTTCCTCGCCTCGCCACAAACATTTCCTGTCAAGTATTTGCAGCCTCTGAAATTACAGTCTGGCCTCTCCAGAAGCTGCAGATGGAAATGAAATGAGCCAAATCTGAGGGAAATGTGGCTTCGCTGGTACCAGCAGCGCTCCACGTCGGTCCGCTTTCAGAGAGGCTTCTAATGCAGTTTTCCAGCAGTTGGACAGAGAGATGTGGGAAACTCTGAACTGTGAAATCTCTGATTTCCACTCTGCTAAATTCCACTTTACGCTGAATTACTTTTAAGAAGCTTTCAGGCATTAAAACAAAAAGTCTTCATGTGGATCTGATGTTATAAGGAGAGGCTGAGGATGAATGTCTCAGAATCTGATTATTAAATTATGAGATAACTGGGAGGTTAAACCAGGTTCCGTGCAGTTGAGAAGAGAGAAACAGATATAAAGCTACAGCCAAATGATCACAATATTTGCCTTTAACACTTTTTCGTCTAAGCTCCAATAACCGTAACTTGGTCAGGTTAAATGCAGGAATCAGAAGTGCTCTGTCTGTCCTGCTGGAGATCAACCATCAAGCTGAAAAGTCAGAGTCTGAATTGTTGGAAGACGTTTCTGTTGGAGGATATCTGATCCCAGAATGGGAGGAGGAAGTTGAGTCCTTTGGACGTGTCACTGCTGGAAACACACAGGGCTGCTGGTCGTTCTCAGCTGTTAGCCAGATAATGAAAAGATAACTTTTATAACTTTAAATCTAAAAACAAGCTGAGCTGGCAGCATAAAAACTGAAGATCCAAAGTTTGAAAACATAACATTCGTCTCATTTGAAAGGTTTTTGCACATGTCAGAGTTTCTGGGGTTTTTAAAACCTATTTAACATCATTATGAGTGAAATTTAAGATCTGTGACACAAAGAAAATCACATATTTTATAAAGCAGTGCTAACCTCTTCCGCACAGAATGCATGTTACATCGTACAGATTTGCAACAGAAGTGAGCCAGAGGTAAAGATGAACATCATCCATCCAACTGCTGACACTTTACACTTAACCAAGACAGGTACAAAAAAAGCTAGCTACGTAGCAAGAGATTATTAGCAGCTAGTTAGCGATAGCCTTAACCACCTCAAGTCACAGAGCAGAATGAAAATGTTTGCTTCACAGAAAAGTTCCTTGAGAAAAATAAACTACATAATATGTTTAGTAGTGCTGCCATGACAAAATCTAAGACCTGTGACTAACTTAAAAAGATACATTTTTAAAAATGTATGTTTAAGGCCAACATACATTTTTAAAAACGAGTTTAGGACATTTAAAGTTGCAGTTTGTAACTTTAATAAAGAATGTTTTTCCATGTTTGCTCCATGTTGTGACAGTTTGTTATGAGACAGATAATCTGAGAAAAGATCGACCTCCCTGAGCTGCTACTGCCGCCTGAAGAAATGCACCAAAATCAATCAATCAGAGCCAGGAGGAGGGGCTTAGTGCTGTCAATCAACATCATGTACTCACTGCTAAATGTGCTAATGGCAGAGAAACAACTTAGTGTTACATAAAAACTTTTTATCCACCATCATCAGTGGCTATGCTAACTAGCCGACCATTCATAAGAGGCTATGCTAGCTGCAGTCCCGCCTCCTGGCTCTGATTGGTCGTTTCTAGTCAGCACTGTGAGAGATGAGATTGATTTTTTCACAGATCATCTGTCTCATACCAAACTGTCAGTCTTATAGATTCAACAAATATGCCAAAACTATTAAACTATTTTTATAAAAGTTCCACATAGCAGCTTTAAGGCTTTACTTGTAGATAATTTAAGAAGTGTGGACCCCTGTCATGATCTGTAAATGTCTGTGTTAAATCTGGTTTGGCTTCAGTGATGGACTTCAGATCAGGCTTCAGACTCCAGGAGAGTCTCTGAGCCTGAGAGGAATCCCGTCCTGTTGGAAGCGGTTCTTCACAGCTGCACTGGCTCAGGTTGGACTCTTTCACCCTTTTCAGAGACAATAATTTATGGCAGCAATTTAAAATCCTCCAGCAGAGTCTGAACAGCTCAGACAGTTCACTGGGATGTCGCAGATTCCCTGATCTGCAGGACGGATCCAGCCTCTAAAATTAATTATAGCAAATGTAAGGATTTTCACCGATTTCTCTCTGTGGTTCAAAAAGTCAGACTGACTTTTGCTATTTAATTTAACGAGATGTTAACTAAAATATGACTGAACAAAAAGACTCAACTTCTTTCATCAGCATTAAATTATTTAATGGACAGACTGAAACAACGCCTGTGTGACAGACAATCTACCCCTGGTTGGACGATTGTATTTTTTAAAGCTACTGAATAATTAAAAGAATTTTACTACAATTTAAACTATTATCTTCACAATAGGAAATTAACAATTAAATATCAATAGTAATAATTTACTTTACTTAAAACAAATTTCAGATTTTTAAGACTGTGAAGGAATCAAGAAGACATGAAACACACAGTTATAATTAGTTATTAGTGTTTCTGATTCAGTTGATCGACTGTGAAGATCATTAATAGAATGAAAGCCATGAGTAAATTATGAATGAAACTCCACATTTTGGACATAATTTGTGTATATAATCCACAATATTCTAAATTGGTCACGATTTTCCTTTTGTTTACATGGAAATAAACATAGATACTCATAGACAGTGTGGTTATTTCTCTGTAAAATGTTTGAATAATAGAAATCTGAGCCGTAAATACAAATATCTTCAAATACATCCCCTACCTGGTTGTTTTTCACCACTTGAGCTGTTTTCTCCCAACACAGTGCTGCCACCTTGTGTTCAAACTGAAACATTAATGCTAATCCTGCAACAAAAAGAAAGAAAAGTCATTTAGGAGCTAAATGTGGGATTCAGTTAGCTAATAGGAACAGTGTTTGGTCAAAAGCAGTCCTGCAAGGAGCTGGACTTGCTTACCTCACTCCAGCTATTTAAAAATATGACATAACAATGTCAAACATTATTAATCCAAATAACTCAATTTAAAAAGATTAACTTGTTTGATACAGATCCAGTCCACACACAGCATTAATTTCTGATAAATGTAATTATTATGCCATACAGCTGATAAAACCCATAATTCAGTTTTCACAAATAGAAAATTAATTCTGAAATATACATTTTCGAATATGCCGCAAAAGAGTAATTGTGAAATGGACCTAGTTGTTTCCTAACCCTGGTCCTCAAGGCACACTGCCCTACATGTTTTAGATGTTGCTTTAAAACACCCCATTTAAATGGGAAAAAGCTTGTTAATCAGCCATCAATTGAAATCATGTGTGTTGAAGCAGGGAAAGACCTAAAACATGTAGGGCAGTGTGCTTTGAGGGCCAGGGTTGGAAAACATTGGTTTACAGAGTGCTCTATCCAAGCATATTCATTAAAAGTTGAGTGGAAGGAAAAAGTGGGATAGAAAAACATGCACAACCACCAGAGGAAACCTCAACCTTACAGGGTTGTGAATAATACATTTCTGCTGTGTTTTCAATGGCTATAAATAGCAAATCAACATAATTAAAATAAAAAAGGTCTGAAAACATTATTCTATAAAGTATTTAGTTTATTTCATTATGAAATAAACTACATTTTCAATAATACTCTAATTTATTGAATATCGTACAGTGATAGACATAATTTTCATTTGGCCAACATCTCTGTTATAAAATATTTTTTCTAATGGTCTCAGGTAATATTCACAATTTATAAATTTCCTCATCTGTGAGCAAAGAACACATTAAAATCAGCATTAACTTTGTAAAAATAATCTAGAAGCATTAAACTTCAATTAAGTTACTGACACAAATTAACTTAATCATAATAATAAAAATAAATGAATCGAATTAACTTAACAAATGTTTTAGCTTATTGAGATGAAGCAGAAACGTTTCAGTCAAAATTTCTAATTTTCGAGGCGACCTGGAACGTAGCAGTTTGGAATCGCACGTGATTGTCGCGGTAAAAGCAATGGCGGCGGCCAGAAACAGGAATAAAATGATAAAACCTCAGAATTCTTTCATTAATGTTTATCTATACAGGTCAATTAAAATTTTGACAACAATTTGAAACGGGTTTCTTAGCTAGAAAATGTCTTTATTCCTTGCAAACATTTTTAAGCCGGTTTTTAATCTTGCTTTTCTAAATCGGCTTTCAATCGAGTTGTTGCTACTTTTCAAACACTTCTGACACCGAAAATACTCACGGTTGTCTTCATTTCTCTCGCAAAACAAATAAAACCCGTGGTTAGTTTATCTTAAGTGAAATTTTACGATCTAAAGGGAATTTTTACAGGCCAGTTTTCAGCCAGTTTACGTTTCCTTTGAAGAACGACCCATGAGCAGTTCGTTTTCTCGAACAGCACATGCGTGGAATGTTTAAAATCACAAGCGCTCCCCCTACTGGCTGATAAGTATGTTTACATCCATCTACGTCTTTATTCATCCAGTCATCTGCTTCTTAAAATTTATAAAAGGATCAGAACCATCATTAATAACAATAAAAACATAATGAAACTCTGTTTTTTATATTTTTACTGTGAACTTTTTGACTTTTGGTTGCTTTTCGGTGATCTCGATATATGTTTGAATAATTTACATTTATGAAGTCCTCTCCCTACAATACATTATAAACAATATGCTAATACTTAAACTATTTAAATCTGAAAAACCGATTTTCCAAATTAGTAAAGAAAAATCAGCTTTTTCATTATTACTTCCTCAGCAGACTAATAAACTGCATGGGTTTCCATGGTAACGTGGAGGAAATCCAGCCCAGTTCGCACAGCCACGTGTGAAACTTTCAAACTCTTTACCAAAACTCACAGTTAAATTATTTATGTTAATCATCCCTTCATTCATGGATCGAGTCACATGTTTGTTTGTTTTTGTAGTCAGCTGTTCGTTTTACAATGTAGTCTGACCCAGGAGGGGGAGGGGCCTGTCTGTTCTGCTCTGGTTGCCAGGTCTGCAGATTTTACACTTTTACAAACACAAACCCTATGTAGTGCTCTTTCAGGATCTTCAGTTACTGCACCAGGTGAGAGGAGTTAGTCATGTGACTTTCTCTGAAAGACTTCTGCAGTGAGTTTAAATAGAGTTGATTTAAAAATTAAAATAAAGTTTGAAGTAAAAAAAATAATATTTTACAGAAGCAAAACAGTTCACCTTCATATAAAAAGCATTTAATATTATTTAGATAAGGAACATTTCATTGAAATGTATTTTCAAAAAACTAAAAATAATCATTTGCAGCCATTTATTCTCAGTTTCTGACCAATAAAAAACTGACAGATTGATCAACTGATCAACTTTCTCCAATTTAGTATATACTAATTCTGTAATAAGCATTATCTGCTGTAGCTTAACCGTTTTGTAATATGTACTGACTGAATTGTTTCATATCCATTCCAGTTAACTCCATAGAATTAACTGGAATGGAAGTATATAAATAAACTGTATTGAATTAAGAAAAAATAATATAAAAGAAACATGAATTGTACAACAAAAATTTTATAACTTGAAATTCATTTTTTTATTCTATTTTTTACAGGGTATAAAACTGGACACTGGACGCAGCAACAATCTTCCCGTTTTGCGGATTTTCTTCTCAAGACCTGGCAACCCATGTGGAGTTCCTTCCCGCAGGAAACCTCTCTGTGCAGACCCACAGACACGCATGGATGCCGTCGTTGTTTTATCCTTATCTGGGGCCGTAAATGAGGAGAATCAGCCGGTGAGAGGTGAGAGGAAGCCTGCAGCCCGGTTCGGTCCGATTCAGCCCAGATCGGTTCGCGCCAGAGCCCGCCATGTTGCAGCTCTGTGGTCAGTCCGCGGGGTTTCACGGCGATTCAATGGAGAAAGCTCTGCAAACTGAGGGGTTACTCCCCCACTGTGACCACTGAGGCTAAAGGTGGTCAACTGATATTTTTAGTATTAATAACTTTCATATATATATATATATATATATATATATATATATATATATATATATATATATATATATATATATATATATATATATAATTTTATTTATTTATTTTTTTTCCAGATTTTATCCTAAAATTATTTGTCTTGGAATCATAACTTTCTCATTCATCTGATTACTTCAAGTAATTATGTACAGAAAAACCCAAATTATTCAGTTCTAGTCACAAAGTTTGTTTCTAAGACATTTATTTCTCAAAATACGTTAAAATAATAAAAAAGGGGATCTGTTCAGAAAAATCCTGGTTTAATTTACATGTATTTAAAAAACAATAAATTTTCCTACCCTTCTTAAGAATTAGAGGTAAAATCGTTATTTCCATTATTTAAAGTAGGGGAGCAACTTTTTGTATGTTTCCTGTGTTATTTTGATTATTTAAATTTGAGCTCCACGTCTTTAACATTGGAAGGCCTCTTTATCATCACCCTAATCTTTAACTCCCTCCACAGATTCTCAACCAGATTTAAGTCTGCACTCTTTGTATTAATTTCTGTTTTTAAAATGAAATTATCACTCTAAACATAAATTTGCCAGGGGTGTGAATACTTTTTGTGTAAATTCAGATTTCTTTTGCAGAAATTACAAAATGTTAAAAAAAAATTTGCAAAGTTGCAAACAGAAACCTGCAAAAATCTGCTCAACTGAGAAATATTTTATACTAACACTAATATTAATAACTTCAGTTTTCAGCTTTATTCATGACCTTTAACCCCTGTTTCAGGGGCTTCAGGTGTCTTCATCATGTTTTTGATTAAGATGCTCATCAAAAACAATTAATTAGAAATATTTAAATTCCCCTTTAAAGGAGCATTTAATGTCAAAATGAAGAAATCGCAGACTAAGATGCTCCGTACTGTTTTAACTTTCCTGTGATTATTTTTAGGAATATAATTTGGGAATCATGAAGGAAAGACGAGACGGTTCTGTGGTACCGGAGTTCGATATTGGGAGGAAACCGGAAGCGACGGGCGACCAGAACCTGCAGCCTGACTCCGGTTCTGCTCATAAAATCCTGGAGGTGAGGAATCAACTGGGTCCATCTGCGTCCCACGGAGTTCGGATCATTTATGTGATTAAAAGTCAACATAGTGTGCAAAGCGGAGGTGGGTAGAGTATCACCATTTCAACACATTTTTACTCCAGTTAAAGTAAAAAATATCCAAGAAATTACTTGAGTAAAAGGAAAAAAGTATTTGGTGAAAAGGCGACAAAAGTGCTGAGAAACTGATCAAAATAAAATCATGTCATCAGATGAACTGAAATGTAAATATTGGTGTTTTAAAAACCAAGATGACAACAATTCATATAAATGACAAAGAAACATTTTTCCAAATCAGTTTCTTTCGATATAAAAGTTGTGAAACTAACGAGAACTGCAGCTGTGTCTGGTGAATTTTTGGTTAAAACATGTTTGTTTTTCATTCAGTGAAGTTACTCGCAGTAATAGATTATCCAGAAATTTCACTCAAGTAAGAGTAGAAATACTTCATAATAAAGTAACTTCAGCAAAAGTAAAAACTACAGGATAGTAAAAATACTCCTAAGTAAATTTTGTCCAAAAAGTTACTCAAGTAAAAAGTATCCATTCAGGAAATGACTCAAGTTAAGAGTAAAAACATAGAAATCTGATCAAGTACCGAGTTACTCATCAAAACAATCATTTAATATTTAGAAATCATCATCAGACAGAACAAAATATAAAGTCAAGTGGAAATTTGGATTTCTTTCAATATAAAACTGATGAAAGTTTAATAAAAGCTGCAGTTTCTGTCTCTGGTGGATTTCTGGTTAAACATGTTTGTTTTTCACTCAGTGGGGAGAAATGCTTATAATGAAATTACTCAAGTAAAAGTAAAAACTACAGCGTAGTAAATATACTCCTAAAAGTAATTTTTTTCTAAAATGTTATTCAGGTAGTTTAACTAGTTACGACCCAACTCTGGTGAAAAGTTGAATCATCTTGCTTCTGTTTTCAGAGCGGAGAATCCGTGGATCAGAGGACGGATGCATCGGATCTGCAGAGCAGCGTCATGAGCCCAGGTCGAGTTTTTCCTCTGGATGAACTTCCTGCTTCACAAGGAGCAACAGGAGACACTTCCTGTCCCGAAACTCCAAACTCCGCCCATGGAGATCCGGTTTTCCTGGATCATCCTGGAGGAAAAGCTCCTCCCTGCGAACCCGAGACAGATTCCCAGCTTCTGGATCCGAAAAGTCAGCAGGAGAACATCTATGGCTCGGTTCTGCATCAGATGCTGCAGCAGCAGAAACACAAACATGGCAGGAGGTACAAGAAGAAGACGCTGATGAAGATGGCCAGGCTGCTGGTCATAGCCAAAGGCTGGGATCACCGGGAAAACCAGAGTCTGAGTCTGCAGGAAGAGATGGACCTAAAAGAGGAGATTTCCGTGTCCATACAGGGGAAAAAAGTTCCTGGGAATCCAGACACGTCCAGGAATCTTTCTGGAGAAATCAGGTCGGAGTCCAACAGTGAAGAAACAAAAATCCCACCAGAGAGACGCAGGAAAAAAGCTACTGAAGCTCCCAAAGCTGCTGGGGAGAAAACGGATGAAACTCCTGGAGGATCGGGATCAGATTTTACTCTGAAGAACAAAGAGGAAAAACCAAAAACCAAAAAGGATCCTGAGCTCAAACTCAGGAAGAAAGCCGGTCGGAAAAGGATCGGAGAACCAGAGAGTCTGTCCGTCTCACCTGGAGGAAAACAGAGGAGGAAAAGGGATCCTGTGGCTCAGATCCAGATCACTCCGACTGCTTCTGAGGCGAACGGAGGTTTGTCAGGGTTTGCCGGGAATACTGCTGCACAGGAAACTGAACCTCAGGAGAGCAAGAGGAAACCCAGGAAGAGCAGAAATCCGTCTGCCGAGCGGCTCCCAACAGGAGGCGATCCTCTGCCGGAGGAAAACCGAACCAAACCGGAGGAAGAAGCATCATCTCTGGATCTGTTTCCCAAATTACAACTGGAAAAACGAGGAGCTAAAACAAACAAAATGTCCATCTGGGATCAACTTCCGTCTGCTGAAATGTCAAACATCCAGAATGAAACCGGAAAAAAACGCACCAAAACCGTTCCTGCTGAAGAGGAAACGATGCACTGGGATGAGAGGCGAGGAACGTTCAGTCAGAAGCTGGACGAAGATCCGATCCGGAGCTGGAAAAAACCAAAAGGTCAAAGTCGGAAGAAAAAAATACGGCAGCAAACCTTAAACTTCCAGAGTAAGACCCAACCAGTTTGGGAAGCTCCAATAAGCCGGCTGGATTTTTCTCCCACTAACGCAACGCCAGCAAATCCTTCCACGCAAAATCAAGAGTTTACCAACTGGGATGAATCAGATGAAGCCTGGAAATTTGGGAAAATCAGGAGATCCTGCACTTTGGGAACCAAAACAAGCTCAGCCGCTGACGAATGGTTGAGCCAATACCTGAAAGGTTCCCGAAGGAAAGCTTCCTGTAAGGCCAGCAACATCCCCGAGTTAATGGGAAAAGATGAGCTGGAAAACGGGACAAAATTCAAACAAACCAAGAGAGGTCAGAAAAAATCCACTGGACCGTCCGCCAACGGTGAAACTGCTCCTGGCAATGTGAAACGAAAAGGGAAAAAAGCAAAACAAGAGTCGGCAGTAGAGTTAAACAAAGACAGACTGGGTTTTCCAACTCTTCCTGCTTCCAATTCGGTTTCAAACCGGCAGGAAGAGGAGAGAATGAGGAGGAAGAGGACCGTAAGGAGGAAAACGGGACCAAAAAGAAGACGAGCACTAAACATAAAAACTGGAACAAAAATCCTGGAATCTGAAGTAAAACATCCAAATGAAGGAGATCCAGGAAGCCCTGAGGATGGAAAACCATCAAGCGTGAGGCGTGGAAGACGGAAAAATGTTTTTACAACCAAGAAGGAAGACCATGAGACGGAAAAATCCCAGCTGATGTCTTCATTTCAGGATAAAAGCAACACGACAGAAAACGGAGTGAATCCAGAAACAAAAGGAAAAATTAATCTGCTCCAAATCGAAGGAACTTCTCTGAAAGACGGTTCTCTGGAGGTTAAGTCCAAGGCGGCGCCTAGAAAAATGAAAAGGAGCCCAAAAAAGAGGCGGATATTAAAGAAACACTCAATAATAAAACCAAAAGTCCTGGAATCTGATGAAAAACATCCAGATAAAGTAGATCTAGGAACTCCTGAGGAAGGAAAAACATCAATTCAAGATAGAAGCAGTGAAACTGGAGCAACTCCAGAAACAAATGTAATGAGTTTGCTCCAGACTGAAGGAACAGCTGGTCTGACAGATGGTTCTCTGGAGGTGAGGACTGTAAGATGGAAAGCAGGACCAAAAAAGAGGCAAAATTTAAAGAAAAACTCAATTTCAGAACCAAAAATCCTGGAATCTGATGAAAAACATCCAGATGAAGGAGACCCAGGAAGTCCTGAAGATGGAAAACCATCCTCAGGTGTGAGGCGCGGAAGAACGAAAAACGTTCTTCCAATCAGAATAGAAGATGAAATTTCCAACATCATTGACATACTGGAAGCTGATAAAGAGACTGAGAAGGAGAAATTTCAGGTGATGACTTCTGAACTCACAGAACCAAATCAGATCAGTCTGCTCCGGATCGAAGGAATTTCTGATCCGAAAGATGATTTCCTGGAGACCAAGTCCAAGATGGCACCCAGAAAAATGAAAAGGGGACGAAAAAAGAGGCGGATGTTAAGAAAACGTTCGGCAACTGGACCAAAAGTCCTGGAATCAGAAGAAAAACAGCCACAAGAAGGACATCCAGGAACTCCTGATGGCGGAAAATCATCAATTCAGGATGAAAGAGGCTTAATGGATTCTACAAGTCAAACTGGAGTGACTCCAAATCAGATTAATCCGCTCCAGATCAAAGAAAAGTTTGATCTGAAAGATGATTCTCTGGACATTAAGTCCAAGACGGCGCCCAGGAAAATGAAAACAAGACCAAAAAAGAGGCGGACCTTGAGAAAACGTTCTGCAACTGGAACAAAAATGTTGGAATCTGATGGAAAACATCCAGATGAGGGAAATGCTAAGCATGGAAAACCATCAAGCGTGAAGCACAGAAGAAAGAAAAGTGTTCTTCCAATCAAAATGGAAGATGAAGCTCCCAGTGTGATGGGGATGGAAGAGTCTGGGAAGGAGATGTCCCAGATGATGTTTACATTTCAGGCCAAAAGCAACACGACAGAATCAGGAAGTGAAACCAGACCGACTCCAGACATTCAAGGAAAGATGAATCTGCTCCAGACTGAAGGAACGTCTGATCTGAACGATGATTTCCAGGAGATGGTGCCAACAAAAAGGAGAAGGGGACCAAAAACGAGCCGGATGTTAAGAAAACGTCCTGTAACTGAACCAAACATTCTGGGATCTGAACATCCAAAGAAAGGAGCACCAGGAACTCCTGAGGACGGAAAACCATCAAATCAGGATAGAAACAGCTCAATGGGGTCAGGAGGTCAAACCAGAGCGACCCCAGAACCAGATCGGATAATTCTGCTGCAGATCGAAGGAACGTCTGGTCTGAAAGATGATTCTCTGAACGTTAAGTCAAAGATGGCGCCCAGGAAAATGAAAAAGGGACGAAAAAAGAGGCGGATATTAAGAAAGCGTTCTACAACTAGAGCTAAAATCCTGGATTCTGATGAAAAACCAGAAGAAGATTATCCTGGAGCTAGTGAGGATGGAAAACCATCAATTCATGATGAACACAGTCCAGAGGATTCAGGAGGTCACACCGGAGCGACTCCAGAACCAGATCGGATCGAAGGAACATCTGCTCGGAAAGAGGATTTCCTGGGAGAGAAGACCGTAAGAAGGAAATCAGGACCAAAAAGGAAACGAGTGTTAAAGAAAAACCTGAAAGCAGAACTTAAAATACTGGAATCTGAAGAAAGACATCCAGATCCAGGAAGTCCTGAGGATGGAAAACCATCAAGTGTGAGGAGCAGAAGAAAGACAAATGACTTTACAATCAAGATGGAAGAGGAACCAATTTTCATTGAGATGGGAGCTAATAAAGAGTCAAAGATGGAGAAATCCCAGCTGATGTTTTCATTTCAGGATAAAAGCAACACAACTGAATCAGGAAGTGAAACCAGAGCGACTCCAGAAGTACAAGGAAAGATGAGCCTGCTTCAGACTGAAGGAGTACCAACCGATCCCAAAGATGATTCTGGCAAAGTTTTCCCCATGGTACAAGGACAAATACAATCATTTCAGAAAGACTCAGCAAGACCTAAAATCCAGGAATCTGGTGATCATCCATATGAAAGGGATGCAGGAGCTTCTGAAGATGGAAGAATGTCCGAAACGTCCAACATGGGACACGGAAGAAAGACAAATGTCTTTACAATCAAGTTGGAAAATGGAGCTTCTGATAAAGAGCCTGAGGCGGAGAAACCGTTTCAGGAATCTGCTTCATCAACATCTCCAGGAAAAACCAGGCAGAAGAGACGGCGGAGGAGCAGAACACACTGGTCTGGACATAGAAAAGCAAAGAAACCTCGGGTCTGCTCATTCTGGGATGTTCCGGCTGTCTCCAGTTCCTGTGACCAAACCTTCAACATCCAACAAGAAAATCAGGAGAATCGGATGACAACAAACGCTCCGTCCGGATCTGAGATTTCTCATCACCTCCAGAAGAAAAACAAAAGCCTCCAGTGCTCTTTCTGTTTGCGCTCTTTTCGCCACATCTCAGCGCTGACGCTCCATAAACGGCTTCACACGGGCCGGAAACCGTACGGATGCTCCGTCTGCGCCAAGAGCTTCTCCACGCTCCCTGAACTGAAGCTGCATTCAAAGCTCCACAGGGGGCCGCCAGCCACTCACTGCCCGATCTGCGAAGAAACATTCAGAGACAAAACCGAACTCATCCGTCACCTCAAGGTCCATCTGGCCGAGGTGGAGGGACTCCAGACAGAACCGGGAAGAAGCAGACGATCCCGCTTGGCTTCCGGCCAGGAGGAAACCTTCAGGTGTCCGGTTTGCTCCAGGGAGTTCACCAAGAAATCTGCATTTGAAAACCGCAGACGGATTCATGACAGGAAAGCCTTCAGAAATCCAAGAAGGATCCATGGATTCCACGTCTCCAAAGCCGGCGATACAACAGTCGTCACTCCAGTGTTTTTTAAATGTCCGATCTGCCGGCAGATCCATCGCCGCTGGTGCCACTACGTTCTGCATTTACATTCCCACACGATGGGAAAACCTCACCACTGTTACGTCTGTAGGCAGGAGTACAGCCGGGCGGCCGGAAGCAGACGGCACTGCTCAGTCTGCTGCAGAGCCAGCGGAGAAGAGGCGGCTTGTCGAGGTTCCCTGGAGGACATCTGGAAGGAGACAGGAGACTCAGTGAGTCCAAGAAAAATATCGGCAATTCCTGAAGAAGAAGGCAACGGGAAGGCGTTTATTCCTCCACCCTCGTCTGGTGGCTCAAGCCCGTCTGTGATTGAAGACTTTGATGTTGATGTTTCTCCTCTGAACTTTGGTTTCTCCCATCCAACATTCAGTCCTGAGCCTCCCAGACTCAGCCTGCAATCCTGGTGTGGTCGCTTTGGAAACAAACGGCGGCCACATCGGCGAGCTTTCCGCTGCAGCCGCTGCGAGCTGGAGTTCCACTTCCTGGGATCATACATGGATCACCTGCAGGAACACGCACCCAAAACGCCAAATGCTTGTCTCTCCTGCAATAAACCACGGCTGGAGCCTCGAGTCAGGCAGCCGGATGGTTTGAAATGCAGCACATGTGGGAAGCTCTTCTCCACTTCGAGGAATCTGCGGAAGCACAAGCTGCTCCATAAAGCGGCCCACTCCCACATCTGTCTGCCATGCGGCCGCTCCTTTCCCGGCCACTCCGCCCTGGAGGCTCACCTAGAAGCTCATCGGCGGCGGCTGAGTGTGCCGCGGCCAGCGCGCGTTGAGGAGCCCTTCCTGTTTCCCTACCCCTGCAGGAAATGCTCCGCCAGGTTCTCCAGCACCGATCTGCTGGAGGCCCATCAGGTGTGCCACTCCTTCGCAGGGAGGAAGCCGGAAAGTCCTCCAGAGAGCATCCTGTCCTTCATTCCTAACCCGCAAACGGTTGCCGTCTCTTCACCTGGGCCGAAACGGTGGCTGCTGGTGAGCAACAGGAAGGACCTGTTCAGGTATCCTCATCCAGACCACCTCTACGTCGTTCCCGCCGCCTCCTCAGAGACGCCCACCGTCGTTTCGGAGACGCCTGACATCGGTTTGGACCTGGAGTCGGGAGCCAACCCAACCTCAGCGGAACTTCAGCTCCAGCTTCTGGTGAAATCTTTAATTCCTGAAAAACGTCTGACGACGAGCGACAGCAGCGACTCTGAGGACGAACCGACGGTGCTTCGGCAAAACTGTGCAATCTGTATGCAAACCTTCACTGACGTCGCGACTCTACATGAGCATTACCGCAACCACGCCAGAGGAATGTGATGGACCGGAACCAGAACCAGAGAAAGGGAATCCTGAACTTTTGGCTGTGCAGCAACAGACATGTTCGTTTGTTCTTTTAAAATGAAAAAGTTAAAAAACAAACATGTTTTTGTCTCTGTGAAAAAGTTTTTCACCACGACGTTTTCTTTAGCTTTTTACTTTTAAACATTTGTTTAAAAGTAAAAACACTTTGATGTTGATATCAATCTGCAGTGTTTGATCTTTAAATATTTTATTTTATAATTTTAGAACCATTTTTTAATTTTATTTCATTTTAAGCTTTAGATACTTGGTGTAACTTTATTTTGTAATTTGTAGTTATTGATGTTTCTTCTAAATTCCTTTTTTTCAGTTCATTTTTTACATTGAATAAGAAATGGAGAATATTCTACTTTTATTTCACATTTATTTTGTTTTTTAATGGATTTGTTTTATATTTGCCAGTTATTTTAATTTTATTTTTTACATTGTATTTTTCATGTAATTCTCACATTTTACATTTTTTGTCACTTTTTCAAACAGGTTCTGTTTTGTCATATTTTATAAAAGATAGTTGTGTTCATCCATGTGCAGTGCTTAGTTTATTTTTATAATATAAATATATTTTTTAAACTACTGCTGTTTGTGGAGAAGTTTTGGTGATGGGGAAATATATATTTTTGTATAAATTAACCTTTTTGACATGTGAGTTGCTGATTGAGTTCTGGAAAAATGCAAATAAAATGTAAATCTTTCTCAGTAAAAACAGACTCGTGATGGTTTGGAGTTTTTCTTCTGAGCTTTTATTTGTGATGATTGTTGTGTTGAGGAGACAAACATCTGGTGTGTAACTGGTTTTATTGGTGAATTCTGTCACGTGAACTGGTTTCAGATCCCAGTTTACATGCTTTCTCTGATCATGGTGACAAACGGCTCGAACCAGTTGCGCAGCTCCGCCATCTTGGCGCCCAGAGCGGAGCGCAGGTCCTCGCCGGCGGTCTGGACCTGGTCCCTCACGCTGTCCACCTGCGTCTTCAGCAGCTCGTTCAGGGTGGTGATCTTGGCCTCGGCGTTGTCCCGTACCTGAGCGAAGTACGGGTCCAGTCTGGTCTTCATGCTCTCCACGTTGTCCGAGGCGCGGCTCTGCAGCTCCTCGATGTAGTCGGAAACGTGTCTGCGGTGGAAAACAGACGGTTTTATGTGGATCAACAAACATCTGATTGAAAATGTTCCGCTGGCAGCAGGCGAGTCTGAAGGACGTTCATTTACTCTAAATGTCAAAAATCTCTTAATTCCTCTGTGTTTTTCAAAACCTGGTTAAAATCCTTTTATTTTGCGGTCTTCATTGTTTCATTGTTGGTTCTTCAGGCTTTTCAAAGATGCAAATGTGGCAAAAATCTGTTAGTTTAAACCTCCAACTGAAAATAATGTTTTATTTTTACCAAAAAAAGTCTAGCTTGATTAAAGATTTTTAACTTTGAGTTATAAACTATGGAGCTAAATTGGGGCCATAAATTTTGTTCAAAAGAAGAAAACATTAAAACCGAGTACAAGATTTGAAACTGAAAAGTAGTTGGAACATTTTTTTCAGTTTCAAAATGTTTTTCAATTTAATTTTTTAACAAACTTTATGGCCCCAATTTAGCTCCATAATTAACATCCCATTTGATTCTCTATTTCTAGAGAATCCACCCAAAGTAAGGAGAATAAACTCTCTAAAGTTCAGTGAATACATGAAATATGTAAGGATTTTCTGGGTGAAACTATTTGAATTTTTCTTCTCCTGCCTGTAAAAGTTCATTTATGACCTAAAATTCGTGAGGTTTTCGCTGCTGCCGCCTGTCCAGCCCGTCACTCACCTCTGGATCTCCTGGGTGTCCTTCTGGAGGCGTTTCTTCAGCTTCCGGGTGTAGGTGGACACTCGGGACTTGACGTCGTCGGCGTTCTGCTCCATCATGGTCTGGAGCTCCTGCAGGTAGTTCTCCATCTGGCCGCGGGCGTCGGTCATGTGTCCACGCAGTCTGTCCACCAGCAGCTGCAGGTCTTTCCTGAAGCGCTCTGCAGCCTCCTGGGTGTAGGGGGCCAGCTTGGTCTGCAGGTCGTCCCGGTACAAGGCCAGCTCCGACATGCTGTCCTGGATCAGGGTGCTGTTCAGGAGTCAGATCATTTACTTCTCAAAAACAGTGAAACACTTTTGGAATCAGGGATTGTGTATGTTTTGCACAGTGTGAGCAGAAAGAGGCAGATCTGACTCCTAACTCAGCTGACTGAACAGGCCGAACAGAAGACTCTGTGCTCACACAAGGAGTTAGAAACATCACTGAATCTAACAGCAGCTGGTAAATTATTGCATCAAAGTATGGAGGACTGGACCTGGCAAAATAAAAAAATTAATACAAAGAGGTACGACCAGCTCAGAAAAGGTCTAAACATTGTAATATTATGAAATAAGTATAATTGCATAACAATAAGAGCCTGGTTCTCAGAGCTTGGTTTCTTACCTACTGGTTATTTATCAGGACTGTTGGGCTTCAACCGACCTCAAAATCCAATATGGCTGCCAGAAGCATAAAATGTTCTGATATTTCCAATAGTTCATTTATTTACACTTCTGTCAATCTTTTTTTATTCTAATTCTTTTCACTAAATTTACTCCATTTTTTGTTGTTTCACTGCATACAATGCTATTAGTGGATTTTTGTTGCTAACTGCTGTTAGCTTTGACTGAGCAAACAATAAGCAAATTTCAGAGGTTTTCTAACTTGCAACAGGTTTGGTTGGAATTTGTTATTCTAAAAATCTAAATTATAGACATGTAAACAAAGTGAGTCTTACACACAGTTCAAAATATCAGCAGCCAGAAGTAATAGTAATTGTGCTTTTTGTTGCTGAAATGCAAAAAAAAGGTTTATTCAACAAACTAAAGTTTTGGGTCTTGTGGGTATAGAACAAACTGTTACATTACAGTTTTGAGAGTTTTAAAATATTTCTTCTGACTGCATTTAGGTGCTAGTAGCACCTGGTCAGAAACAAAACTGGCCAAAGAAACAAACGCAGAATCTGAAAAGTAAATATAGATTGAAATGAACATGAATTAAATTTAGTTAAAAGACTCAACATTAAAGTTAGTTTATTTATTGAAAAGTAAAATCAAATAAATATAATACATGACCTAAAGTATTAAATTTTAACCTCTAATAAAAATTGTTATTCTTGTAGCTTTTTCTTAGCTATTCTGAGTATTTTATGTCAGTTTATCAGTTATTTAATCTTTGCCATTTGTTTAGTGGAGTTCTGATTTTTTCCTGTTTTTCCTTCGTAACGTTCCCAAAGTGGGGGCCGGGACCCGGAGTGGGGAGACCGGACACCAAGTGTGTGGTTGCAAAATGATTTTCAGAGTCACAGTGATGTGACCCTGAGGAGTATGGAGGGACACGATCAAATAAATCACATTAAATAATGAACTGCACATTTTAAGAATCAAACGTGACCCGGAACCATGTGCAACCTTTACCTCCCTGGGCCTGAACAAAGATCTTCAGTTGGAACAGGCTGATCACTCACTCGAGCTCTCGGCTGATCTGGGAGCTCCTGATGTCCTTCACCACTCCATCAGCCCTCGAATTCAGCTCTGTGATGTAATCATTGAACTTTTCCACCGTCACCTCCCACGTGCCCTGCCAGTCGTCCTGGAGAACGCTTCGTGCACGGGATCCTGGAGTGGACAAAGAAGAAACTTAATCTGCCACCTTTTAACGCCTTATTGCCTGAATTTATATCCAATTGTACAAAAAAAAAAATCATTCAGATGGTAAATTACTTAGAGATTATAAATGTGAACATTGCACCTACCATTATTGTAAATTTAAGTATGTTGCTAATTAGTGACACCAGGCTCTTAAGGAACGAAATGCTGTTTGATCTTATTTTATTGATGCTTCTGTTGCTCAAGGAAGCCTTTAAAATTGAGTCAGAATGTATATTTTTGAACAACCTTTGCTTTTGAATTATTACAGTGTTTTAAATAGCAACGCTGGGCGGATCGATCCAAAATATCGATAATATCGACGCCAAGTTATCAGTATCGGATTGATATTAACATGGTAAAATCAATACTTTAGTTTCAGATTCCCTCTTTAAAGATTGTCTTATTTTTGTTTTGTAGTTTCTCGAACCAACCCAAAGACTTTGTTATGATTTGCTGTAAAAACTTTTGCTGTTTGTTTTTGGGGAAAAAATGCACACAAATTTTTTTACTGTTCTGCTCTTTCTGCCTATTGTTAATATGATTTTAAAGTATTAACTGTGTCTAAAGTCTGTCCTAGATTTTAACAAAGTAATTCATTCATTGCCAGTTATTTGATTAAATCTTGAATTAATGGGGTTTTTCAATAATCTTAGGTGAAAAATCCCCTAAAAATTCAGACTCGGAAGAACTTTTAGTCTGTTTTCACATCGACTATAAGAAACTCTTACATTTTTAAAGGAGCTGCATGTAGAAACTTGATATTCATGTGATTCATTAACAGCTATAAAACTTTTAGTATAAACAGCACAATTATTTTGAATCTATGTGACTTTATTAATGCAGACATGTTTCTCTTAAAGCCCGAAAATCATAAAAATTTAAAAGGAACAGTTTTCAGAAAATGCATCAAATCTACCAAAAAATAAATAAAAATTGTGATTTTTCTGTTTGAGATTTTTTAATAGCCTTCAAACGACTATTCTTCTTTTCAGGAAATACTAACCTGACCTGAACCAGATGAAAGTGATGGTTCCCACTTTTTAACCCCAAACATTTTTAATTTCCCAGAGGAAAACCAAACTCACCTGAGATGACTGCAAGAGCGAGGATAACTGCAAACACCCTCATGATGACCAGAAGCTGGAAAATTGAGCGACACGAAAAGAGATTTTGGGAAAAATGTATGACAGATTAAACTTCTGTGAGGTAACACCAGAATCCCTCCTATGTTAACCAAAGTTTGAATCTTCCTGCAGGAATGAAAAGGCTTCGTCTCACCTCAGATGCCTGATTTGATCTGTGACGTCTGTGAGGCCGAACCAATCCTTCTCTGAGTATTTATACAGATTAGGTGGCACCGATGAGATCCAA